TCGTGTCCGCGTTGCGTCGCGTCGCGTCGCGTCGCGTCGCGTCGCGTCGCGTTGCGTTGCGTTGCATTGCGTTGCGTTGCTCGGTCAATGAGAATGTCGTGGTCTGAATTTGCAATAAACATCGCTCCAAAAAAAGTGGATGCTGTTCACCTGATTATTCAAAGTTTTATGTACTCATTTTGGAATACAAATATCGTGGCGAAAGTGTCGCGTATTCATAGTGATGAGAATATTGTCGATTGTTTAAATTTTTATATAAAAGAAATGGATTTTGTTACATAAAATTTCATATATGTGCTTTGATGTAGAACGTTATAACGAAAATGATCCGAAGTAACTGCGATGAGGATGTTGCCGGTTGAATAAAAACATGTTATATAAAAACATTGTTCTAAGTATCTATTTGTACGCGCTACATCGTTCAAATTTTCATAATCGATTACATTAATTTCTCTCTTGACGTTAGACTTGTTAAATTGACAGCCACCAATCAGCGATTAATGAACGATTGACAGAAGACATGTATTTGTGCTGCAAAGTACGTTAGTAAAATTTTGTAATCATATATATTATTGATCTTCCACTGTGTACATTTCAATATAACGGTTTGATGTCAGAAATGTATAAATATACAGCAAACGTTATAACGCAATATGTTTTGTAAATCAAAAGAGAATATATAATCAGAAATACGAAAGTTAATAGAAGTATTACATAAGCACGTTTCTCAATACTCGCAGGAGATAAAAGGATTTACGCGAAATCTGTTTGACTAAAATAACATTTTCAATTAGTTATCGATTCGATTATCTTTATTATATTACGCGTAAAGTGATAAGGTGCTGGATATTAATTCATTATTTACATACTTTTAATACTTTGACATACAATATTGCTAATAGATTGTTAAAGTTAGTATTCACAATATATTTTAATTTTAAATCTTGCACACAATAAAAATAAATCGATAAAAACAATTAAAGAATTAATGTCTTTTGTCATTCGTACACGTATCTGAACTCGATTGCTGGCCTGAAAATGAGAATTTACGTATACAGTCTTGCTGACATATTCACCGTTTATCATTTACTGCTGTTTGTCGTACGCGGTCTTTTCAATCGGCGAACAATCACTTGATCGCACGCCACAAAAGAGAAGGTGGTCTGGCATCGATCGCAATTACTCGGGGATCGAATTCGATAGCTTTCTGATTGAAAGGTTAGAAGTAGCAGAAATTGTTGGCGGGTCGACACCCGATCCAACACCGGTGATTAATTGACAATCGCGATAATTAATGATACACACGGTATACTGCGATCTCATGCCACGACACACTGATATGTTCCATTAAATCGCGTTTTGTGAAAGAAAATATCGAGTGAGCAGAGATTTGCTCGTACTTGTTCATTTTTCAGCAATAATTTAGGAATAATTGTTATATATTCGATATTATTGAATATTTCTACTATTTTATAGTCTTCCTAAGTATTTTAATTGCTCATTTTTGTGCATTTTGCGCACTCCAATTGAAATTTTTATTTTTAAACGATGAAAATTTTTAAAGTTAGGATAATAGATTTTAACGTATTGATAATACGATGAAGAATTCAAAATCTTTAGAATGTCTTTAATTTAGATTACAGAATATCAGAAATGTGAAATGTCAGATATCCAGAGAATTTTTATAATGATTTAAAAGATAATCTCTTAAAATAATATCTCTTCAAAGATAATATTATTTAATTAAAATAATTAAATTTTTCTGATAATTTTTATAAAAGTTAACTGCAATAGTTGCACGCGTATCGTAAGAGTAAGCAACTTAAGATTCTGGAAATTTTATTAGATTTCAAGGGTACATCTTTATACGTTCCGAATATAATATTTTATCTAAGAAACGAGCTATCCATAATGGATTATACATGTACATATATACGAGTAAATTGTTCGTTAATTACTGATTTTTGCTTTGCTATTCTGCATTTAATTCAATTAGTTTCGTGTATAAAGTGATCATCAAATAAGACTATAATTTCATTTCGCTCAGGAAACATAACGTAATTCTCATCGATGTAATTAATGTGCCACGATGTAATTCTCATTGACGAGCGAGCAAATCTATCCAATTCATTTCTCGATCAGTGATTTCTGTATCTGATTTTACACTTGAATCATAAAAATTCGCATTTTTGCATTTTCGATAAAGATTCAAAGAAAATTCATAAAAAAAGAATGAAGAATAAAAATTTTAACAAGTTTAGAGAAGTTTAGAATGTCAATTTATATGTATAAAAAAACTCGCTTATGCGCTTTCAAAAGAGTAAGAATAATATGTTAATATTGCATATAAAGTACACGATTTTTTTTAATGCATTTTGCATTACTTTGCAAATTAAGAAAATTTTTTGTTAATGATTAAAAACTAGCTATTTTATTAAATTTTAATATTTTATTAGAAATTAAAATAATTTAATAATATTAATAGACATTGATCAAGCAAAAGATCTTTCGAAGGTATATCGGATTTTATTTTCTATGAAAAAGCATGAGAAAATAATTATATACGCTTCAAACGTGTAAAAAGAAATTTAATTAAAAGAACATGTAAGAAAAATTGAGAAAAAAAGAAAATTCACTGATCGAGAAACATGAAAATAAATTGCACACGTCAGATAGTCTATTCATAATCATATTTACCGCCGTAATTATAAAAATCATGAATAGTTTGATTAATTTATAAATCCAATTAATAATCAATAACTGATTAACCGATATAAACACGATCGGTTTCATCTTCTATCGATCATCGTCTTTCGCGCGGTCACGCTTTCGAGACTTACATCAATTAGTTTAGACGAAATTCTCTTCGAGTTTCTCGTCATCGTTTCGCATCATCGATCGAATATTTAGAATAGGGAAACGATTAATCGACGAGACACACGTAGAAGGAAGAAAACGACGATATATGTTTTAGATGGATAATTCTGCGTACGTACCGAATCATCTACCGCCGCCGTCTCTGGTCGTGTTCTCGCAGGCCGGAGGGTTGCCTGAGGCCCTGAGAATGCAAAGACCCTTCAATCCACAAGTTAGTGTCCCATTGTCCTTACCCTTACGCCTAAGCTTCCGCATCAGCTTGCACTTATACTTGCGATTACATTGCATTTCGTCTGCCTGCAACCAAACGCGTTTTAACCTTATCAAATATAGATTTTGATTTTCTTGTACTCGAAAATTTTCATATTCTTATAAAAAAATGTGATTATGTATGAATGAATGTGATCATTAAAAATCATATCATTTCAATCTCACTTAGATGTATATTGATTCACGTTATATCCAATACAATATTTATTATATCGTAAATTACGTAACGCAGATGTTGCGTAATTCATTGGGAAAATTATTCGAATTTGTATAATGTTTAAGTACGTTGTAGTCGTACATTGTATATTATAGATGAGAATTTATCGGAGAATGTAGAGAGTAAATTTATTTGCACGTTTATATCATATGCAACGAAACTACATTACGGTAATTCGAGTGTATTGTATTTATTTGACGCGACACGTATGTCACTATTTGACAGAAAAACAACATTCTTGAAAAATATATATAAAATAAAAAAATAGTTGTTAGCATTGATTTCAACAAACGCGTTGGATAACTCGAGTTACTTCTATTCCGCTTCGCATGTCTGTGTCGCTTTATACACGCAAGTACATACTAATTAATGCGTGCAATGAATAGAAAGTTAGGTGTGTGCGTGTACATAAATGTGAATATGTGTGTGTGTGTGTGTGTGTGTGTGTGTTTGAGTAGCAGATAATGTTAAATCAGTGATGCGCAACCTTTTTTCGAATACTTTCTCGAAATTATTCCTAATTATTGTTTTTAAGGAGAGCTTGTTTAAACATAATATAATTATAAAGTGAAAAGAATCTAAAATCAAGAAGACAAAAATTCAAATTAAAAACTTATAATTTATTAATGTGATTGTTTCTATTTGTTAAAAATACAAAAGTATATAAATGTATTTCATCTTTTGATCATGAAGAAAAATGTGTAGATTGTGCATCACTATTATATATAGCATGTGGTAAACATTAGTTAAAAAAAGAAAAATAAAGCCTATATTACCAAAGAGGTGCAGTAAGTATTTTCATTGATATTTGAGATCAGCGATATGACTAACATTAATTAGAAATATTGTTCGTGGAATATAATTGTGAAATATTTATTAATTTTAGGAGCATTTTTTATTAATAAAAATTATATAGTATTCTAATTGAAGTATTACATAAAAATATGAATTCGGATTAACTTTTTTGCAAGTGATTTTAAACTAAATTTTACTACAATCAAAATCGTATCGATAACGCGAATTACGGGAAATATCATTATTAAACTCCCGATAATAACAAAACTCTTTTACGATTTTATATATCACACACATCTTTATACTTTATATCATAACTGTGATTGCCGCAAACATTTAACGAATGGGCATCGCGGTTAATTATAAGCGTGTATATTCCACAGTGTTTTTAAACGCTTGAATATTTTTTATACGTGCGGAACATCAATCGGGTCCGGATAAAACACGTGCATATGCGAAACGGTAGATACGGCATAGAAAGCAGTAGAACGAGGATGATAGCCAGATAACCTAACCGGTTGCATCAAAATTCAGCATCGTTAAAAAATGAGATAATTTCGGGGCGAACCTAATTGCGATGGCATGGTGACAAAATACGCTCGCGCTTTGCCGTCCGCGGGAGCGCGAGGGAAAAAAAAAATGATAAAAAATTATTGCAAATATGCAAGCAGCGCGCGTCGCGTCGGTCGCGAAAAAAGGGCAGGGGCCGCAATTAAAATAATAATGAATATCTAATAAATCACTGATTGGACCGCGGGCGCATATATGTCGGGTCGTCGAACACGAACCTCATTTCCCCGTATAAAAGTATAATAAACTAATCGCGGCGCGTACTAATACCCCCGCGTGTAACTCATCGCCCGCATCATTATCGACCGAATGAAATGTTTATCCGGAAACTGTGGTTGTCCATTCTCGCCGATGAAATCATTTCGTACTTCCGTTTCGCTCCCTTAGCCGCGCGGTTTATATTGACCGGTAACGTTTCACACTTTACGTTTACAGATGAATTTATGATCTCTGTAACAATTTTATGCAAACTATTACACAACTGTATCTAATCTTCTAACGTTTATATTAAGGAAAAGTTGGTCTTGTATCGCTAAAAAAATTTGTTATTATAAACACAATTACACGGTTTAATCCCGGAATATCGAAAATAATGAGAAAATAGTGTGAATAAACTTACTTTTGAAATCAAACCGTTTAAATTTTTAGAAATCACTATAAATATGTATCCTAAATGTTTTTTATGATGATTTTGAAAAGTAATTTTCTGGTTACTTATGAAATATATGATGTTACTTCGTGACATATGTACTCGTACCAATAGTCAACATTGAAACGCACTCGTATCGTTTCCCGAGAAGTCGATGCACAGGAAGCAACGCACCGTTATTACTTCAGTTACGTTTAATAACGGTCCGATAATTCTGGCATTATAAATGTTACAAAATCCAATGCGTAGATGCTTCAACCGAGCATTCAGTATGCGGCTTAATAGACTCGTCAATCACGGCGAATTGAATGATACAACTGACATACGGGATGGAAGGGAGAAGGGAAGTTAGGGGGTTTGGGGGGAGGGGGAGAGAAGCTTCAGGTTTTGACGGATTATTATAACACAGTGGTTTCGCGTTATTAACAGTATACCACCACGCTGCTTTGATATTATATGCCATTCATATGTACCTGAAAGCACGGAAATACCCACATGCTGCAAATGAGCTATCTAGTTACGCGTTTCAAACATTTTTCCGTTTATCGCGTATACAAAATAAACTTATCAAACTCCTATCAAACTCAATAATGCGAACATAGTTCCTTGAAACGAGAATGAACGTCAGGAGGACTTCTGCAAATGTCAATGTACAAGTAAAATGAATAGGAAATTAGACGTTAAAGCGAGACATCAAAAAAACTATTTGTAATTGATGATCTGAATCGATTATAAAATTTAATAATGAATAAAATATAATGTTTCAATATTTAAATATATCATATTAATATTTGAAGAGTATTTAATATAAATTATTTCAAGTAAAAGTGTGACCTAAATCTTTTTCTATAATTATTCAATAATTTGAGAAAAAATGAATATATAATTTATTTCGATAAACTTTATTTTTCATATGTTACATATATACTTTTTATCTATGCGCCAATATTTCACAAATATTAGTTAAGAACTATTGAGAGTGTGTTAACTAGTTATGGGAGAACTCTTGTGTCTCTCTCTTCTCTCTTTATAAAATATATTATTACGACTTATATGTTTCTTTCACTAACCCTTATAACGCTTTCGTGATTTAGAAATAAAACATTAAGCTGCATATAAATATTTAATGCGCGTCGCGCATTTGTGAGCATCCAAATGTCAAAATCCCTCTACCAGCATCTTTTGCTAACAAAATAATAGAATAATAATATTAAATCAAGAAACTAAACAACACTCACGAGAACTTTAGGAGAACTTTAAAGATCGCAAAAAGATTAGGCAAAAAAGAATACGTGACTAAAAAACAAACATGTCAAACATAAATCGCAAAAAATAAAAACGCAAAATACAAAAAGAACGCAATCTCTAATTTATTAAAATTCTCGTGAATTATTTCATTTTTTGATTTAATATATTGTATGTATATTTGTTTGCTCCTCGAGCTCGTTTATTATTTTGTTTATTTTGATTGGAGCCTTTTCTTTATTTCGATCTTTTACTAATTTTTTTTTCCTCGCGCTTGTTTCAGGTGACCGACTCGAAGGATCTGCAGGTGCCCTTCAGCACGGCGGCGTCGCTGGGCTACGGGTTGCATCACATGCTGCATCTGCCACCGCAGTTCCTGCACCCGCTCGACCATAGACTACCCTTCGGTGGCTTCCGGCCCCTGGTGCCGTCCGCGTTCGCGCCCCCCAGCAAGTGCCTCAAGGTCGAGACCGGGAACGGCGCGGTGCCGGGAAACGGCGGCCTGCCCAGCATCGGCTCGCTCTCGAGCATGTCGAACATGTTCTCGCCCACGTCCCTGCCGGGCGCGGGCGGTGGCACGGTGGTGTCCGTTTCCGGTGCGGCGGCCGCCGCGGCCGCCGCCGTCGCCGCGGCCGGCCAGGAAGTCGGCGGACCACAGAGTCCGGCTGGTTCCGCGAGCCGCTCACCCACTGGTACCGCCGGTACCGGTTCCGTACCGAATCGCGGCGCAACTCCCGATGAAGAGGATCGCGACGCCAACGCCACACCCGGATCCGAAAACACCGAGCGATCCACCCCGGAGGAGGGACGACCGTACAGACGTGAGTACTGTAACCCTTGTGCACGTTTTTTCTTTTTCTTTTTCTTTTTGAGCGAGTAATGATCGATACAATGATCAGCTTTATATATCTATAAGCTGCATTACAGCGATTTTTAATTAATGTCAATCCTTGATACTACTTATCTACTTATATGATTTTCAATTATACGAATATGCTATCTTATATATAATATTTGATTATTTCTGTCGATCATTTTCCCGTTTTTCATGCAATTTCATTAGTATTTAAAATATTAATATCCGTTATGCACGGCACTATTCGCTGCGTCAATATATTAACGAAATATCGTTCCGAAAAAATCTTAGAATATCCTCGTGATATTTATATTAGATAAGCTTCACTGACGTTATTTTAAAGATAACTATGCGGATTTTTATCATAAACATTCTACCCGCTGAATAAACTCGCTGCCGCGTTCAAAACTTTCGAAACATACGTCAAGTATATATCTTAAGAGATAAGCGAAAGAAACACGCGCTATATTCTTGAACATATTGTTCAAGAGTGCAATCTTTCTCGAATCACCGGCGCTCGGGGTAGACACCCTGTATATTTTTCCACGTTGACCCCGACATACGGGCGGGTTAAGGCTGGTTACACGACGAGCAGAGTCGTCGAGATTTGTATGCTTAATCTACCTAAGTCGTTTATTTGAGCCCCTGGCGACGTAACAGCTGCACCACGGACAGCGCGGAAAGACCACCCTCTCTCTCTCTCTCTTTCTGCCACGCGTTTGTTTATTTTTCTTTGCTATCTTAATTACCGAAAGATAGAGCCATTCATTTTTCCCTCAGCGGCGACGCCGTCGCCCGCTTTTTTCCATATTCTTTCTCTGGATTTGGAGTACCGGGATAAACTATCATTTGTAAATAATATAAATTCTTTATATCGCACGGAGCATTAAATATACGAAGGAAGTTTGGAGTAGTTCTATTTTACAAGAATTTTACGAGAATAATTATTACAAGCATACTATTAGTATTTTTTATTATCATGACTAAAATGGCTAATATTTCTTCTCGTATTTCTTATATCGTACAAGTTAGAAAATTTGAAATTTTTTTCTGTTTCTCATTTTTATTAGAAATAACAAATAAACAATATATATTTTTTCTTCCCTCCCCTTTCTTTAAGATAAAAAGAATTGGGACGCGAACCAAGCATCTTTGTGATGAAATTTTATACATTTCTGGCTTCTCTCTGTGCAAATTAACCGTCGGCGAAAAAGCGCGCTATGGTCAGTTCGCTCTCTTTTCATCGGCTAATTTTCGTTTGATTGCGAAAGAGAAAAGGGGTTAGAGACACACGGAGAATCTCTCCCTTCGGCTCTGTTTTTTTTTTTTATTTTTTAGTTTCGCGTATCCCTCGACGCGCGGAGATAACGATGCCCTTTGACCGCTTTAGGTGACGTTAGCACGTTGCTAATTAGTCGATACCGACTTTGTGGCGATACACGCCGTATTGCGTCACGCAACAGGAAACAGTCATTGCGGAAAATTACTCGCGTAATTGCGAAAAGTCAATTTTAATTACAAAAATTATTGCGCACGGGTATATCGTATCTCGCATGCCGATTTTTTCTTACCGGTGAAAAAAAAAAGATGCAGCTTTATAAATTTTTTAAGAATTACAAACGCGCTTTTGCTCTGATTATTCGATGCTTTAAGTAGAAAAAGATGAAATATTTCCAGTCATTGAATTGAATCTCTTTTGATTTCACGAAATCCTTTCGAAATATTATTTATTGCTACCGCGAATCGGTGCTGGATACATTATTAACATATTGTTTGATATCTCGAATATCGACGCTATTATGCGAATTGGCCGCGCGCATACCTATTTTATACTCAATAGTGCGGTATTTTCATTACACACTCGCGCCCTTTTTGAGCGGCTTCGTGAACGGCGCGTATACGTGAGACGCGGTTGACATACGCTCGCGCTCGTGCTTCATCGCTATTTATGGCAAATAACCATACGCGACTGTATCGTGCAATTTACATTGCGTTTATTTGACTCTAATGGCGCGGCAAAAATATCGAGTTAATATTGACTCGCGTTTGTAACGCGCGTGTGTTTGACCGCGTCCACAAGTTGCTATAATCGACTATCATCGTTTCAATAATGGTTATCGTTTCTGCATTTTATTATTAGTAGATAGATATGCGATATACATTTCTAGTTAAAATCAATATCTACAATCTTTCAACAATTTCACAATTATGACGATTATTGAAGATACAAAAAAATTGTGATTTTTAAAATTTTTTTATAATAGTTATGTTATATACATATTTTTTCTTTTATCTGAAAATGTGTTTTAATGAAAAAGTATATTTACACATTGATCTGATTATAAAGCATGACAGTTTCTCTAATCGCTGTTAGTAATAATCACAGTTTGAACTGCCGGCAACTTTTGACTATAGATCGAAATAAAATCGTCCAGCAAATCCGTTCGTAATCAGTTCGCCGGTGCGGAGAATACAGGTGGACATGTAATATGCGTATTGTATCGGTTGTGTTCGCATCACTCCCGCGAACGTATGTACAGTCGTTCTATCGAGGGAGGGATATGCGGTGTTTGGCTCGCAGCCGGGGGTTGGAGTGTGCAATCGTACCGTTTGGCAGCCTGTTTGAATGTTTTGCGACGAGTTTATTCGAGTTATCAATTTCCTGGCAAATATCTGTATTTCCGCGCACCCATGTTCTCCTTCCCTCCTCTCTTGTCATTCCCCTCTCTGTCATTCTCCGTTCCTCTCATCCCCGCCTACAGTAGCATCGCAATTGCAGTTTTGTCAAAGATGCAAATCGAACTTATCCGCGAACCACGCAAGAATTGACATATAAAATATAGTGACTGAAAAAAAGAGAGAACACGTCTCTTTGTATTTGTATATTTACAGATTGATTTCATAGATTTTATATATAATGTCAGATATTATACGAAATAAATGCAAATATAATTTTTTAAATACTCAAAAATAATATATAACAAAAATTTGATTAATTTTTTATACATTATTTTAGATATTATTGTAGTAACTCTGATGAACCATCGTGCACAATCGGAAAATGTCATACTATTATTATTTTTTCCTCGCTGTATTTTACTTTGTGTTTTTATATTGTTATTGCCGTTTTTAATTACATTTCGGAATTTGCAATTTTTATATGGCGTTATCAAAATTGCACCCATATAAAATGAATGCGTAATGTGAAAAGTTATGAAACAAAATCCAAAAGGTAAAGGGTCATCAAAAATCATTGATAATTTGGAAAATAAAAAAAAAAAATTAGGGTTTGTTTTCAACATATGCGGTCGTTTTAAAAAGGCACTTACTCACGTAAAAGTGCATGATGCATCATAGGGACACGGCACACGAATGGTCGAAGGGCCGCGCGTGTATTAGCGCGTTATCCGCGCGTGTATTTTTTTTACGCGCGCATAAATATGCGGTAGTAATATAACATAGGAACGCCGCGCTCTTCTCTCTCTCTCTCTCGTGTCTCGACGAGGGATGACGGTCATGAAATGGCAAACGTAAACCGAAAGTGTCGTGATTTTTAACCCGCCGCGAATGTATGACATCGTTTTTTCGGTTTTACGTATTTACGTTCACGCAATTTTTCGCGAATCTCTCCGAGAATCGTTTCCGCACACGTCGTTCGATTAATACACGTAGTAAAAATTTAAAATAGAAACCTTTGAACAAAACGTAAAATTGTTTGCATGGCTTATTCGTTACCATTATATTTCTAAGTATCGAGAAAAATCTGTAGATAATCTTTATTTACATGTAGCATCTTTATTTACATGTAGTTATAACACACACGATACACATTGTTTTTAATTTTTTTGAAAATATTTTATAAATGTCAAATTTATACAGGATGTATACACGTATACAATATGTATACGTGTAACACATTAAAATAATTACATTGCGATGTATATGCATATAGGAAAGACATTTTTTTTAGAATATTTTTAGATTCTTGTCAAAACACATAATTTGATAAAAGTTTACGTAATTGTATACATGTGATTCTTTAGAGTATTGTATACATGTATAATGTATATAGCATATAAATAACTACTTTAGGAATGGAAAGTTCAGAATATGACAAATTGATATAAAGTAAATGCAACACTGTTATAAAAGAGAGCTTTTCATTCTTTTATTATACCATAAATAATAAAGTAAAAAAATCAGAATGTCAAGTGATATTCCGCAGTAAGCGTATGCATAAGAAAATGCATTGCTATCAACGAAAAGTACAAAAAAATGATCAAAGTGTCAAGAGGGTTAATACACGTGTAACGAGAGGATGCATCGCGTATTGCGTAAATTATTGCTTCTTGAAGAAAACAGTTAGTATAGCGACCGTTACGACTCTGTCGTACGTCATGGGTAAAAGCCCGTATAAACGTCAGTTACGTCAATCATTCTTTAATAGGAATGAATTTTCACCGACCGCCACTAAATCACTATTGGCCAATAACGTTTATCGTTAACGAAACATCGCGTACGTCGCTGGTACTGAATTGATGTACCACTTTGCCAATGAGATATAGTATAAATACTCGCAGACGTGATGCTGCAACTATGTTAAGCAATCGAGCGAGCGGGATAAAATCGAATTTGCGTGTAACGTGCGTAATTGCTATAGCAGTAAATCGATTGGAAATTAATGTCCCTTTGGTTTATCTATTAGATAATAGCAGTGGAAAATTGTATAATTCTTTTACATGGAAGATGTTTTTACTGTGAGATATTTTAGACACTATTTTATTTTATTAAAACAACGTACTTTATACATAAAGTAGGATAAAGGAAAACAATTTTCATCATCGTAAAATTAAACTTGGGGATCACACATATTATTAATATTAATATATTATATTGAGGTTATCAATTTAATCTCAAATTATATAATTTATGAATATTATGAGAGAGCTTTAAATATACAATTTT